AGCCTGCACAGCTCTGCATTGTTGTCATGAGCATTGCAAGCACAGGGCACACGATCCTGGAGTGTTTGCAGAGCTGCAAGAAGAACTGAATGAGTGGCAACATAACAATTTCTTGGAGGACGGAGTGCTGTGGAACATAGGAAGAGCCATTTCAAGGTTGTGGCTGGCATTCGTGGAGCACCACTTCTGGGCCTGAGAAACAAGCACGGAGTGGTGGGATTGCATCGTAATGCAGGTGTGGGATGATGAGCATTGGCGGCAGAACTTTCAGATTCTCAAAGCCACATTCCTGGATCTGTGTGCCGAGCTTGCCCCAGCCCTCCTGTGCAGGGACACCAAAATGAGAGGTGCACTGAGAGTGGAGAAGCGAGTGGTGATCGCACTAGGCAAATTTGCAACTCTGGATTGCTGTCGGTCAATGGTAAATCAGTTTGGAGGTGGGAAATCCACAGCGGGGACCATTGTCATGCAAGCATGCAGGGCTATTTATCACCTCCTGCTATGCAGGGCTGTGATTCTGGACAATGTGCAGGACATAATGGATGGATTTGCAGCATAATGGATGGATTCCCAAACTGCAGAGGCGTGATAGACGGCACAGGCATCCCTATTTTGGCACAGACCACCTTGCCACTGAGTACATAACCAGAAAGGGCTACTTTTCTATAGTTACACATCATTGTTGGATCACTGGGGATACGTCACCAACATCAATGTTAGATAGTCAGGGAAGGTGCATAACACTCACATCTTTAAGAACACAGGATGTTCAGAAAACTACAAGCAGGGACTTTCTTTCCTGACTGGCGGATTAACATTGGGAACGCTGAAATGCCAGTAGTGATCCCGGAGGAGGCAGCATATCCCTGGCTCATGAAACCACCTTGCCAGCACCAAACAACAATTCAACTATAGGCTCAGCAGGTGCAGAATGACAGTTGAATGTGCTTTTGGTCATTTGAAGGGCTGCTGGCATTGTTTATTCACCAGAATGGAGCTCAGTGAGAAAAATACCCCAATGGTTTATAGCTGCCTGCTGTGTCCTGCATAATATCTGTGAAGCAAAGCGGGGAAAAGTTTCCGCTGGAGTGGAGGGTGGAGGTGAAGCAGCTGTCTGCTGAATTTGAACAGCCAGATACAAGGACTATTAGAAGAGCTCAACACGGAGCTATATAGCTCTGGGCGACTCTGAAAGACCATTTTAACAGTGAGCCAGAGAAGTGTGTGGTGTTGTAGTGGCTCTCCCTGGCCCTCCTCTTTTGTGGCCTAGTAGGAATCATTTGGTGATCGCTGGACATGCAGGAATATAACATAGTCAATGCACCTCTTAATTTTGTTTGTGAATGATCCTATGAGTTATGTGACATGGTTACTCTCAGAACTGCTGAGCACTCATTGGTATATGTTTTGACCCAATAAAGCTGAATGAGTTCCAAATACTGTAATTTTATTCTGTAATAAAATCAGTGCAAAATAACCTGTGCAATTTTAAAACAAATACATTAAAACGTAATAAAGTTTAATAAATTTTAATTTATAATAATAAAGAGAGCAAAGCTTATGAAGAGGAAAGAACATTCATGTCCATTTCAGCTACACATACACCAACCGTGGCTTTCACAGGTCAGTTTAGGGGAAGCTGTGATTGCCTTTAATGTGGAGTGGTAGGGGTAGTGCAGAAACCCCAGATGCCACATGGAATATTGATATAGATTTAGGGAGCCTGCAGCATCTGTGTTTGCTTCCTGAGAAGCCCCATTATGTCCTGGTGCAGCTCCCTCAGCTTTTCCTGCTGAGACTCCTGGGCCTCTCTCCTCTCTGCTCTTATCTTCTCCAGGCTGCCTGCGGTGTTCATCCTCCAGGCCCTGTGCTCACAGTCTGATCCAGCACTGGCTTGCAGGATGTCCTGGAACACGTCCTCCCAAGTCCTCTTCTTTCCTCCTTATCTGGCTCAGGCGTTCAGCAGGTGGGCGGAGGGGATCCTGAAGGCTGCAGTGGCAGCAGCTGAAGATAACACACACAGAGAGATACTAGTGTCAGCATATTCACTGCAGAATGAGAAACTGAAGATGCTGAACACTCTCCCCTTGCTCCCCACAAGTTTTAAACACGACCTTCTCACTTCTGCTTGGGATTGCTTGTGCACGGCACCAGTCACAGCACCAGCCATGGTGAGTACTGAGTATGCCCCCCTGGGGGGAAGGGAAATGAGAAAGGAATTGCTCAGCTGTATGATTCTAGTAGTATAGGGCAAGTATAGGAATACTGGCACCGTTTTCCACAGGCGGTGGTGATTTTAGCTGATGTCTTACTCCTGAAGGTCTCAAAGGCTGCTGCTGGTGTCTCGAAGCCGCCCAGGCCCGTACGCTGCTAGCCTGCGTACTGCAATGGGGCCTGCTGAAGTTATGGCTGAGTGGTGTGGGAGTGTCCTACCGTGGATAAGAAATAAAGCAGCCCTCCCTAAAAACCATGGGCAGAGGATTGCAGAGTAACTCCATGAAAGTTTCATCAAGACCTCTCAGGAGGATTTAAGGGACATCCCTGTTTGTCCATAAACAAACTGCTCTGCATGCCATCCTCCCCCCCCACTTCACCCCTGCCTAACTGTAAAGGGGACTGGAAAGCAGACTTGTACCACTGCCTCTTCTAGCACAAGTAAATTGATGAAAAGTCAAAAGATGTGTCCTGCTACTCTGGGGATCCGTCCCTGTCATTGAAAACTTATCTACACAGTTACCCGAGGTTCCTTCCCCTGCATCACGCTTGCCCTTGCTCTACTGGTGGGACTGGCTATATTGCAGTGGAGTTAAAAATGGATCCTGGCTCACTGCGCAGCTGGCTCCCCCGTCACCTGTCCCCCATACTCCTCCTTGTCCTCTTCCACCAGCTCCTCCTCCTCCTTGCTGTTCATGGAAGGGGCTTATGATTTGGGCTTCTTGGAGGTATCCACAGTGCTGTGGGATGTGGTAGTGGGGTCTCTGCCGAGGATAGCATGCAGCTCTTCGTAAAAGCAGCAGGTCTGAGGTTTGGCACCAGCTCGCTGGCCTCTCTGGTCTTTTTGTATACTGGCCACAGCTTGTTGGCTTTCACGTGGCCCTGCTGCTGGTCCCCAGTGTAGCCCTTCTCCTGCATCACCCCAGCAATCTGCTCGTATATGTCGATGTTTCTATGGCTGGATTGGATCTGTGCCTTCACAGCCTCTTTTCCCACAGACCAACAGATGCAATATCTCCTGTCTATTGCAGGCAGGGGCGCATCTGGAGCGGGCAGCCAGCGGGGTCAGCTGGGCAGTTGCACACAGCAATGGAGAGCTGCTAGGTGTGCTCATCAAGCTGGACAATCAGGAAAAGGAATTTCAAAAATGGTGGGGTTTTAAAGGGAGGGGAGGGCTTTTGGGCTCCGTGACCCCTAAGCAGTGGAACTGCCACTGTGGGTTATTGTGGGACAGCTGCTGGAGGGTCGACATAAGTAATGCAGTATCTATACTTACCCTGTATTGACCTAAATACATTCACTGTGACTCTATGCTGCTCAGGGAGGTGGTGTTACTATCTCAGCATAGCGGTGGGAGACCAAATAAGTGTAGACACATGCACAACTAGGTTGACGTAAAGTGCCTTTTGTCGACCTAACCAAGTAGTGTAGACCGGCCTTACACTGAGCCAGAGGTAAATATTAATGTCAATACCCAGTGCCAAGGAGGAGAAGCACAATGATAATCAGGGATGGCTCTATGTTTTTTGCCGCCCCAAGCACGGCAGTCAGGCGGCCTTCAGCGGCACGCCTGCAGGCGGTCGTGCGGATTCGGTGGCGTTTCTGCAGGTGATCTGCCGGTCCCGCGCCTTTGGCGTACCCGCCGCCGAATTGCCGCCGAAGCCGCGGGACTGGTGGACCTCCCGCAGGCATGCCACCAAAGACTGCCTGTCTGCTGCCCTCACAGTGACCGGCAGGCTGCCCTCCGCGGCTTGCCGCCCCAGGCACATGCTTGCTGCGCTGGTGCCTGAAGCCGCCCCTGATGATAATTTAACCTGGCCAGAAACAGGCAGTTGTATCCCAGGCCCCTGGGAATCTATGATTAACGCATTCCTTGTGCAGATAAAACTCCCACACAGACCCACGGGGATTTTGAATGCCCAAGACATGCAGGAATAGCCCCTTAAACTCATTGTTAAGTAAGGAACTAATATTGAATAAATGCGGCTTTGCTTATGGTCCAGCTGGAGTGAGTACATCTCCCAGAATATTTGGTGTTATTTATTTAGATTCATACAAGAGTACTTGTCCTAGAACCTCGTCCCAACATGCATTTCTGATCCTTCCTGCATGAGAACCAGCATGGATTAATGCTCAAGGAATGTCTCTATTGCAGGCATGTCAAAGTCCGTGTTCAGGAATCTGAAGGGGATTTTTGCAGGATGTCACACAAAAACAGAGATACGTTCTTTCTACTGTGATAAACTCAGGACAAATGGCTGCGGGAGGAGAGGGGGTGGGTAAAAAGCAGTCCCGGAAGGTTAAAAGGCCCTCCTCCCTTTCAAACTGGGTCTGGGTGACTACAGATCAATCAGGTTCAGCTGAGAAGGGGTTACCAGAGTTCAGTTAGGATCAGCTGAGAGGGAGTTACCTGAGGTCAGTTAGGAACAGCTGATTTCAACTAAGGGCTGCCTGAGTATTTTTTTTTAAACCTTCCCCTGTTGGAGGGTGTGGGGGGAGAGAAGGACAGGCTGTACTCTATGGGGCCCTAAACACTACACTTTGCTGCTGGAGTTACATATGTATGCACTAAGATGAATATGGAGCCTGAGGTCCAGATCCTGCAAAGACTTGCTCATGAGCTTAACCTGATGTACTGCGAGGCATCCCATTGAAGTCAATGTCAGTGCATCAAGTTAAGAAAGCCTTTGCAGGAGTGGGACCTAAAACTTCTTTCTGAGGCACTTTCTTGCATTGAACATGTTACACTCCTAAAATAAAATGTGTCTTTTTTTTCTTTTTTGCAGGCCTTGATCTAACAGGTATATTTCTCTTTGCCATCTTGACTCTAATGACACTAATAGCCGACCTGGTGTTTGTAGAGGAAGTGTTCTATATCTACAAGAAAACCCCCTCCTCTAAAAGGACAATTTTGATTTGGATAAATGCAGCAGCTCCGGTAAGAGGGGGGAGAAAGAAATTCAATTGAATATTGAAAAGACCCTTTCTCTAAAGATGCTGTAGTTAATGCACAAACCTCTCTTATCTCTGCCCCTCTGACACCCTCCTGTCTTTCTGTCTAGGTGATAGCTACTACATCATGCACTGGGATGTGGATTCCTCGCTCAACAATGTTTACAGATTTCACTGCAGCAGTGTATGTATTCTTGTTTCTCTGAACCCTGAATTTCCTGCCTTTAAACAGCCTCTAGCACTAGGTAAACATAGTCATTTTGTAAATTTAATAATGGATTTTTAGTTTGACATGAAATCTCTTGGCAGTTGTTTTATCAGGGAGGGAAAAAATAAAAAAAATGAATTCCCAGTACTACAGCCCCCTTAGTGTGGGAACTGCAGAATGAAAGAAAATAATTGATCCCTTTGATTGGCAGCAGCGTTGAAATAATAGAGTCGTTCCTGTATCTCTCTCAATGCCATGTAGAATGAGACTCTATGACTTTTCACTGTGCTTTCATTAATGATGCACTGTATGGGCCTTTTATTAATGATGACAAGTGAATCTTCAATGAGTATATCAATGAGAAAATGTTCCATACATGTCCTGATAAAATCTTTGTGTGAGGGTTTGACAGCTCTGACATGTAAAGGGGGGGATGAAGAATTGTGGTCTCTGCTTCCTAGAGGTAATGGTGCAACCCTCTAATTTTAAGGCAGAGGTTGAAAGGTTGAAGGCTACAGTGTGGGATTTTCAAAGCTGTCTAAGTGATTTAGGAGCACAGTTCCATTGGCAAGTCAATGGGAATTGTGCTCCTAAATCACATAAATGGTTTTGCAAATCTCCCCTTTAACTCCTCGTGACTTCTGGCTGCATTAACTAAGAGTCTGAGATGGAATAAAACAACATGGAGCAATGCTAATTAGTTAAGTTGCTTTTATTTGGATGGTAAATGCAAATTCTCACTGGCTTAATCTGTGTCTGAGATAAAACCATACAAATCTCTGCCATATTATTAGATTCCCAACTTTGTCTAACTGTAGAAGTATGCGTGATGTTAAAAATATGTATAAAAAGAAAACAAAATCATAGAATGGCGATAACTGGGTGTGACGAAGTGGGAATATTCTTAATGTTTTTTCCGAATACTGTGTGGGTGCCTCAGTTTCCCCTATGCATGGGATAAGAGTGTGTGATTGTTGCAGAGCCTAAGGCCTTGGTCAGGGCCGGCTCTGGCTTTTTTGCCGCCCTAAGGCCTGCAGTTGCCAGCTTCCAGATTGCAATAGCCACCCGCTTCTCCACTGGCAGGGCAGCTCTCAATCTCGTGTCCTTACACCGCAGGGTGGGGGCAAGCTCCTCACACAGTCCCATGAAAGTGGCTTTTCTCATCCGAAAGTTCTGCAGCCACTGCTCGTCATCCCAGACTTCCATGACGATGTGATCCCACCACTCGGTGCTTGTTTCCCGAACCCAAAAGTGGC